GGAGGGGGAGGGGAGGGGAGGGGAGGGAGGAAAGTTACCTGGAGTGCACACAATCTTTTTCAAAGGGGCACTGAAAATAAAGCAAGTTCTGCAGCTCGTGTTAGTTTTCGTCATGAAGATGAACAAAGAAAAGGACAGGAGTGGGATTTGAACCAGTGGGGCACCGTATCGGCGCTTGACCAACTGGTTTGGCGATTCTACCTGTTTGTCAACATCCTCATAGGGGGATAGTCAGAAGATACAAAACCTGAAACACCATATAAGCAAGAGATCATGCCCCAAATACACAATTTAACCAGTGGGAAGCAGTGAATTAACAGGAACTGTACTGCCAACAGGGGGTGAGGTAGGGTGCCAGTACCGTGTTCTGCAAGTTGGAGGTTCACATCCTGCTCAAGTAAATTTCTTTGTTCATCTTTCTAATCGATATGTATAAGAACCTCGTCACTTACCCTAATCTTTTTTGTTTATTTCAAGATTTCAATGGGGGGGACATGGATATCAGCTTGGGAAGCATGGGTAACCCCCTTTAGCTACACCACTTTAGGGAGGATGACGGTGGAAAGAATAAACTCCTGGTAGTAAGGTTCCGCATGCAAGATGAAACCCAGCTCAAGGAACAAGGTACCTGTGTGTGTCCTCATTAAAATCAACCCAACTTCCCACTTTCCAGTTCGGAATTTTTTTACACCAAGATGAAAAAAATGCAAGGTACCAGCAGGGAGGGCACAGTCTTTCTTTGCAAGTCAGTTTGTTGCCCCTGAGCAAAAGATATATTTGGAAGTTCTTGCTTTGCTCATGGTGCTTGATGGCGTATGGAGCTGAAATAAAGCACTTAGAAGTGTTTGACCAACAAAAGCAAATTATACCTTATTTTGAGCTTGGAAAGTTCTCCCTCCACCACCGTAACTGTTTGGGTGAAGTATCGCGAAGCCCTTCCTTCTTTGCTTCCGATTACTGCAAAGATGTAATGACTGCTCCTGATGAGATCCTCCAATGAGACACTATATTTTGTGGTTCCCATGGCAATATAGGTATCCGGGCCATTACCAAAGCAACCAGATGCTGCATGAAAGCAAAAATGTGAAAGCTGACTTTAGAGAGAGTGACAGTTTTGAATGATGCTTTAAAGGTACTACTTTGATGCTAATAAAAGGAGTTGGTGATCTGACCTGCTCATTATGGAGTTAATGTTTGATGATGTCATTTTCTGAAGTTTTCTAGGATGCAGGATGAAATTCCTGGACACTGAGCTTCTTTATGGCATGTATATGGATTTCAAACAGTCTTCTCAAGTTTTGTTTGATAAAAAAATCCATTTGTATCGATTATTTCTCTGCTATAGAATTTTGATGAATGTTAGAGAAAAATCTTGTCCTCCACCGAGTGGAGGGAGTGTAGATCTTATATCTTTAATAGTTGGAGACTTAAAAAGACTTCTGCAGATGCTTTGTCAACCTTCTTTTTTCCCTTTTGTTTCTTAAGAATTCTAAGTAAAATACACCCAGAGTTCATGAAGTTCAATACTGACTTTCTCAATGAGTGCTATTTCCAACTAAGATTTTTCCATAAAAGCATTTGATATCAAGGAAGAGTATATGCTTACCACTTGGATTTGGAGCCACAAACTCCTCTTCAAAACTGAAAAGCTCATCTGGAAGCCTGCAGTACCATACAAACATCAAGGGGCTAGGTTCATTTCGGGACATATTGCCAACTGTGTAGTTTTCAGACTCGTAAAGTTCATCCGGGTCAAAGGACATTGAAGCATCCAATGATATTGTGTCATTCCAGCTTACAGTTACCGCATTGCCGCCTTGTATGCTGATGACTAGGTCCGAGGGCACAACCTCCAGGTAGGTCTGGTTTTGATTGCGGACACGGGAATTGCCATCCATCGTCACGGTCAACTGGACCAGATAGGTGTTATAGTCCAAGGTGCGACGAGGGATGATGAGGTCTGCCTCCGTGGTCTGGATGCTGGTTGGTAAGGGATAGCTGAAGAGTTGGTTTGCGGGAAGTGGCCGGCTATTAAAGTAGGACAGAATGTAAGCATCCCAGTGGAAGAGGGCTCTGTTGGTAGATGAACAGTCCAGAGTGACCTCTGAGACCAGGGTTATGAGGTGGCTCCGCTTAACTCGCCAGGGGTCGGAGACATTCTTACTTCCACCTCGAATGAGGACCTCGGGCAACCTGCAGGAATCCTCAGTGACTGGGAGGAGCACTGCAATACTGAGGGAAGAGGCATAATTGGTACCCGTCACCATGACCTCATAGTCTCCCGAGGCATTGAAAGTAAGGTTGCATGTTGTGACGAAGTGCGTGAAGGGATCGAATGGGAGAAATATACTGGGGTTCATGATTTCCAATGCCAAGGTGATAGCGACAGCGTCATTGACAGGTGGGTCTAGCAGGTAGACGGTGCTCTGATTGCCAATCTGGAGAGCGTAAGTTGCTTCTGTGCCAGGTTGAGCGGCAAATATGATGACAGCGATCGGTCTGTTCCAAGCCACAGGTCCTGAATGGGCGGCAAAGAGCCCAATCACGCTCTCCTGCATGTGAACTGTCTTGAAGGCATCCTTGCTGCCAAAGATGTTCATGGTGATCAGCCGGACCTCGTAGCTTCCTGCATTTTTATACTGGTGCTCAGTTTCTGTGCCAGATGACATCTCACCATCACCAAATCGCCAGAAGTACATCACGGCAGTCCCTTGCCCCAGATGGGCTTTGAAACTGATGGGGAATTCCACAGGGAAATAATTTTCTTCCAGTCCGCCATCTCTGGCTCCGTACTTCACACTGAGCCTATCAATGTTGTGGACCGTTATGCTACAGTTGACAATGGGTTCTTCAGTCTGAACCTCTCTTGGGAAAACCTCTTCACTGGCAAGATTGTGGACTGACACGGCAGACGAGTATCTTCCTGGAGTGTAGGCATGAACAATGGTAAAAATTCTGACCTTGGCATCAGTTACGTGGGTGCTGGTGAAAGTAGCATTGCATAAAGGGTTGATTTCGTTCTCCTCTGGGTTACTGCAGTCGCTCCCAACAGTGAGATCATGCCTTATCCACGTGATGATCTCGAGGTTATTAAGCTCGACAGAGGAAGGTGGACGCACCTGCTCACCAGAGTCGAAAGTGATGCTGGCATTGGTGGGGAGTTTCTGGACCCGTCTGTCCCAGAAAACCCTGAAAGTGATCTTCCCATCTGGGTACTCAACTGGGGTGTCTACTGTCATGCTGAAGCCTCGAACCTTCTCTTGGACAGCTATGAGAACAGGTGTGTGCGTCTTCGTGCCGATTACATTGGTGGCAACAATGAACGCAGCATAGAGGCCCAGGGCTGGATAGAGGTGCTGCTTGCTGTCAGACAGACTCGTGTTTGTGGAATTGAGATGTGAAGTAACAACGTAATTGGTTCCGAAATGCCACTCCAGGATGACATTGGTTCCTGTCGTCAGAGACACATGCAAAGTAACAGGTTGGCCTACAGCTACATATGGCTCCTGGGCCCACACCTCCAGGCCTGTAATTTCAGCCTCCACATAGATCCTGTCTCGCATGGTGAGCAGTGGCGGGACGAGATTCTCCGCAGTGATGATAACATCGACCCATCCTGACACATTGACCAGGTCTCCAGGTATGGCCACAGAGCCGGCTAACCCCTGCATGGTAATGGAATATATCCTACCGTTGAATTCGATATTTGATTCAACATCCGTTCCAGCCTCCAGGCTAATGTTAACTTCTAGGTCCTTGCCAAATTGGCCGACTTTCCTGCTGGTCAAGTTCAGACCTTTTGGGGGTATCTGCACGACAATCTTGGCAGAAGCGTAGACAGGAGGATGGAAGAAATTAGTGCAGTTCAGTTGTATCGTGTAATCTCCAACATGGTCATAGGTGTGGTTTATTGGTATGTAAGCGTAGTACTGATCCAAATCCAAGATGGTGGTGTTGTCGCCGAAATCCCACGTGCAATTGAAGCGGTTACCTCGGTAACGCTGTAACTGAAAAACTGTTATCTGGCCACGTACGGTGGCAAGCGGAGCACCAACTGCAAGCCCCTTGATCTCGTGCGGAATCGGAGGCAGGAGCACATAGTAGGTGTCGTTGGCTTGGACGACGTCGTAGCTGAGATGGTTCCTTGCCTCGACCGTCACCAGGTGGTGCCCCAAATCAATGAACATGTGCTTGCAGTACTGCCTGGTGGTGGTTATGGGCGGGGAGCCATCATGGTAGTCACAGGTGTACTCCACGTTGGTGCCACGCTCAATCTCAATGAGTATGTAGGCAGACTGATCAGTGTGGGTGGTCTTGTTTCCACGGATGTAGGCCCTAAGGCCCTCAATGGGGTACTCGACGTGGGCAACGGTGGATACATTGAGTGAGTTGAGTTTGTTGGATGCTCTGACAATGATTTGATAGGACCCTGGCTCACTGTAGGTGTAGTCAAGGGACCACATCTTGCCAACGTTGGTCTGCTCAAAGACCTGGGGCTCTGTGCCATCACCTGTATCAAAATAATAGGTGTTTTCATTAATTTTTCAAACCTTATCAGGAGTGGAACTTTGGTTTTATGCTAATATGTAAAGATGCTAATGGTGACCTGATCTTCAACAGATCTTTAAAAATATGTACACTCCTTTGTGTAATGATGATGAACATCAAAAACTGTGCTCATGAGCTCGTTGATTCGTCTTTTCTCTTCTGATTTAATAAACAAAGTGTAGGTCAGTACTGGTAAGTCATCAGGTTGGATTAATTCAACCCCTTCCCAATTCTGAAAATGAGTGATTGGCGCAAGGTATTTTCACATCAAGCTTAAAAAACAGGGAGCTAATAAAGGCCCAACTGTTAAGAGCAATGAGTGGTCAATGTCCAGATGGGAAATTTTCTTCCCTTTGGTAAAACCGGGTAACAAGTTGCATGCTCATATATGGGTGGATTCAAGGGAATAATGATGGCATGTGGTATTGAATCACTGGTGATGGTGAGCTATTTTTGAAGATGTTCATTGCTAAATGGTGACCATGTTTACAGATTAAATGATGCCACAATTTGTCCTTATGGCCAAAGCCCATTCCCTGGAGCTATCTTCACAGTTCACCTGCATCTTCAGTATCCTATGGCAGAAAGGAGGCATGGCTATTCCCATCTGTTCTGGAATTCTCTCTCCACTTACCCATATTGACGGAATACAGCACCTCTGTCCCATACTCAATGTCCCAGGCAATTAGGGAGGGCTGGGAGGGCATCACGGGAGGCACCTCTACGAGGAGTCTCAGTCCCTCCACGTGCTCTTGGACGTAGAGGTCTTGGGTGGTGGAGAACTGGCTGACCAGATTCTCAGCTCGCACCGTCACCTTGTATAGCCCTTGGACAACAACCAAATCAAAGTGCACTCTGATAGACTACTCATCATAGTGGGGGAATAAGCTGAAGCGATCTGTCCTAAAATTACGCAGGGAACTCAGAGTGAATCATTTCAGAGATGGTGCTCACTGCTTATGGCTTTGTTCATACTTGTACTTTCATATAGCTTTTGCAGGACTGCTCATCACTTTTCCTACCCTTGCTCCAGATCAGCTAGTGCAATCAACTTGAATACAACCCTTATTCTTTTTCTAGGACTCTACACAGCAAGAACAGGGAACTGAAGTTGGGGGATTTCAAAAAAGGGGATCACAAACTCATCATCTAGGTATGATTTGCGATTTTTACAAAACAAACTCTTGAAGCATTTTTGCCTGAAAACTTCCTGAATTCTTTGAATGCCAACACTCTGTGGAATCCATGCGACATGGATTCTTGGTACTTAAACTTTCAAAAGGCAAAATCCAACCATAAAATATCCCAGAAAATTTTGAAAAAGGTGTTAGCAATTACTTTCTTGAAAGGCATGTCCCATCCATCTACTGATTATCTCTTGTTTTGACCTTTCAACACAGGACGAAACGAAGATGTTCAGCTCTTCATAAGTCAACATATGTTTACAAAAAAAGACTTGTGAGACCTTTCATTTGTTTACGTATTTCTCAGGTAAAATTCAAGGTACTTAATATTTACCGGCATCACGGTAAACATACTGATGGGTGAAGGCATCTGTGGTGAATTGGAAGCCATCATCGTAATCCCAGTAGAATAGAACATCACGACTGTCACCAACAAATGGTGCCACCTTAAACTCAAAGATTTCACCTGCATAAGAAAGGATACATCCAGGTTGAGATTCCAGTGCCCAAGAAATGGAGTGGGTGTAGAATTCTGGCTTCATTTCATGTTTGAATATAGAAGCCAGGGGTAAAAGCCTTAGGTCTGAAGGCAACTTGCACGATTGCAAAATACATAATGATTCCAGAGGAACACCAAAGTACAGAACTGTCTGTAAATTTATCATTGCTTTTACCAAAAATGACCTAGAAAACTGTCTGCCACAGTTCCAAACCTGGACAACTGTTGAATCCCAAATGTTCAAGTTTCAAGTTTATTCATACTATCCTCAATCCAGTACAAATTAAAAGTAAACATAACCTTATTTAAAATACTAGTACGATGAGGTCATAATGTATGTATAAAAGCCGTAGCTAGTGCTGGGTCTGACCTTCCATGATCAATTGATCTAATTGATTAAAGTCAATAAATTGCACCGAGTCAGGTATCAGGTATTACCATCATAGCTCTAACAGTCCCGAATTCTCTGATTTCAGTATGATTTTACATACACCCTGGGGGGTTTGGGTCAATACATGTAGCTAAGAATGAAATCTATTCAGCTTATCTGGCAATAACGGGTACAGAAATGTACCTTTAACAGCGACTTCAGGTTCAAATGTGAGCCCCACTATTGCCTCCTGGACAATGACTTCATGGAATCCAACTGCATCTGCCCAAGGGTTCTCAACGTAGCAAGTGATGTTGAAGGTGCCCTCAGATGCATAGGTGTGGGTTCCTAGGGGGCAGGTTTAGACAAAATCAGATTTCAGCTTAGCGTTTTGAAACTGACACTGCAGGGCAGCAGCGCTGTGAGGACCATAATGCTGCAGCTAGGCAGGCTTTTTTAATTGGCTTGTTGAGAGGTAACGTCGTCAAGAACAGTCAAATTCTTCCATGCACCTTTTCAAAATGAGCCCATGTCCGGCTGTAGTTTAGGCTTCTTGATCGTTCATCGATGGGGAGCTGGAGCACTTTTCTCTGCGATGCTAATCCGCGGATGCGCTATGCCATGTATGCCGAAAACAGTGGTATACTGCTTCAAAATAATGATGGATTACCTCCGATAAAAGCAAGCTGAAAAACGATGGCAATTCCCAGGAGCGGGTCTTTTGTCCCGAGTATGGTCTTTTGTTAAAAAGCCCAGCTCTTTTGTCCCATTTCGGACTATGCATACAAACCCAAGGAACCTGAAACCAGGTTTCCCGGCAGCATATGGTTAAGACTGCCCAAGCACATATTTATTATTTCATTTACAATACTTGTGGATGATAATTTTTCTGATGTTTGCAAGGATGAGCAATGACAGCCCCAAGACAGTCTGGCGTGAAGGTTTCATTACTTACCAGTATAGTACGATCCTTTACCATCATAGATTCCAACAAATGGTTCTGAGACAGCACCGTCCCCCCAGTCAAATGTCATCGTGACACTGCTGCCATTGTTGGCAACACACATTGCCTCCAAGACATGGGCTCGGATATGTGGGCTTGTGAGGTACAGGACAGTACCAGTAATGCTGGTGTCAATCTGAATGGTTGTCACTGCCATCTCTTCGCTCACATTGTTGTAGGCTTGGACTGTGATTGTGTAGGTATTTGGGAGACTGTAGGAGTGAAAATAGCTGGTGTTGGGTCTGCCGGAGACGTTAAACAAGTCCCCAAAGTTGTAGTCATACCATACTTTGTTGCCAGCTCCGATGGTCACACTTGCCTTGACGGGATGGAGAATGAGGTTGTTGCTGGCCGTCACTTGGACACTGGTGACACGCTCTTGGAGTTCAATAATGATGGCCTCTGACATCATCCAGGACACTACGTTGGAGACATTGACAGTGACATTGTAGTAGCCAATTGCTGCGTAGACATACTGCACTGTGGGTGTGGTTGTTGAGTCTTCTCCACCATCGCCGAAGTACCACTCAAAGTGGACGTCGTTGCCCCTGGACCAGCTGACAGTGAATTCCACGGTGTCACCCGTCGCTAGCACCTCAGTCTTATTGTGCAGAGCCACACCTTCCACTGGATCTTGCACGATGATTGATTTGGTGTCAGACACTGCAGGGTAGTTACTGACAACGCACTGTACTTGATAGGTGTTGAAGGTGGAGTAGTTGTGCCAAACGTGGCCCGAGTCTTTGATGATGATTGAAGCACCATCACCGAAATCCCAGCTGAATGTCAGGCCATGGCCCAAGTGCCAGGTGACCTCACAGAAGAACAGGGTGGCTATCTCACTGGTCGCATACTCTGGTGCCCAGACGTAATTAGGTTTGACAGCAGTCACCTGGAAGGTATGGTCTAGCGTGCTGGCAATGTTGTCAGCCTCGATGTGGACTGAATAAACGCCTGGATCGGTGTAGTAGTGGTCGTGAATGGTGTTGAAACTCCAGCCGCCCGAAATGGTACCATCACCATGGGACCACCGATACTGTACCACGTTGCCTGTCAATATGAAGGAGCTATAGTTGAACCAGCAGCCTGCAAGAATCAGGTTCCAGTCTTTTGTGGTGTTGTCTCTAGGGTAGAGCTCAACTGTCCCATTCAATCCCGTGATTCTGTATCTAGCTATTGTGGACAGGTCAATGTCCACAAAGCTTACGTTATTATAGGCCCTGACATGGGTTGTGTAGTTGCCAATTTCAGCAAAAAGGTAGCTCTGGGTGTCAACCGTTTTGACATTTGGTCCGTCCTGGATGCTGTTGGTCAGGAAGGGAAGGCTGGTGTTGAACGATGCATCCGGGAAGGTCCACTTGAATCGCACATAGGTGCCTTGGGTAATCTCCACGTGCATAGTGTATGAGGCATCAGTACAGGCATAGTAGATGCCGAGATCCCGCGTGAAGTGGAGCCCCCGGATGGACAGGATGCGGTATTGAGATGCGATCCACTGGGGAGGGGCTTCAACCTCCCTGCCCAGCAGGTTGTTGTATCGGGCATTGATCTCAAACATTCCCGAGCTGCTGAAGCTGTGAGAGACCCAGGACGCTGTGGGCTTGGAGATGTGAGCCCTGATGTAGAACGCCATGTCCAACTTCTCCACACCACCCGCTTCAACCTCCCTCTTCGTGGACAGCAGCTCTTGCTCCTTAAAGAAGACCGTTTCATTATCTGTTGGATAGTGGGCGATCTCTCCGATGAGCGGGTAGGCTGCCTTTGGGTAGTAGTCAGGGAACTTCTTCTGGTATGGTCCAAACCCAACCCAGTCATGGGGCCTGACTGCATAGCGATCGGATGCGTTGATAATAAATACATTGTATCCTTCTTTTAAGTAGACAATGGTCTGCCCAATTACACGGTATGACAATTTCATTTTGCGTTGCACATCCAGGTAAGAGCAGGAGCCGTAAGTGTGCTCTGGTACTCTCACATAAGGCACAGAGAAGTTGCACATCTGAGGAAGAACATCAGAGGAGTTGCTTCCATTAGTTTCAGTTTTGTTAGCATCAACAGTCACCTGGGTCTGGTTCTCGCACGCTGCTAAGGTAATGGTAGAGTTGGTTTCTGCAAAATTGTAAGTGGTTTGAAAAGGCTGGCATGTCCCGGCTTCCAGGCAGAATGCTGTTTTGTTCAGGCAAGGTGACTCTGTGTACGGTGGACAGGGATGGTACTTGCTAATACAACTTCTATTCTGGGCACAGTACTTCTCATTTTCTCCACACAGTGGCCGGTAAACCTAGGAAAGACAGGCAAAAATCTTGAAAATAAAATCTCTTCTGCCTAAAAAGAAGCCTCTGTCCTAAGCCTTAAACCGGGAATCTGTAAATTAACATTTGATAGGAATATTTGAAAGAGTGTCTCCGTGCCAAAATTACAAAGCATAAAAACCATGTATTTTTTCTGTGCCATCAGGGTTAGTTTTCATTAGCAATTGTTTTTAGCTTGCAAGGAAACTGCATGAAATTATGAAACTCTTACATTCATAAAATATAAGCTTTAAATAAGTTATTTCAAAATTTGAAATGAGCACAAACAAAGCAAACCTGCAATTTGACTTGACCCTCTTTCACAGCAAAGACCTCCCAGGCCTCCAGCTTAGCCTCTTCTCTGAACTCCAGAGCAGGAATCAGGAACACACCTTGGAGATTTAAGGGTGGCTGAAAAGAGACTAGCCGCCTGGGGATTGGCAAGCCGACTGAGAACCTCTGAGCATCTAGATGAGGATGAAGCAAGCTTACTACATGTATTCATCATCAGGGAAACTGAAAACTCATACATGTACAAGGTTCAGTGTCAAATTGTCGAGTACCTAACAAAGGGGCATATAAGCCTACTCTTCATAAATGGCAGACTTTTCTCAGAAAATCCAATGTGAATATTTTGAAGTTTTCTCACTCATTTCACAACTTGAAAAAGAAAAATAAACAATCTCTAAAAAAAAACCGAGTAGTAGCAAACAGTGAAAATATTCACCCTGGAACGTTTGACCCAACATCAACCCAAATCCTTCCATCCTTAACTGCAATCTAACTAAAGCTGAGCGAACCAAACTGCATAACCACAGAACATTTACCAATTTGCTCTCCACAGTTCTTTGGAGGGGCATCTACTGACAAATAGTTCACTGCAGACCTACTGCTTATTTCCCTAGAGGACTGATGGGTGCCATAGGCAACGACATGAATGATAACACCCTCATTGACTAACGCGCGACTTAACAGGATAGGTGTAGTCTTTTTTTGGTATTCATAAACAGTGCATGAATCATGCCGTTTTAACAATGCACTGATTTTGAAATAGATGCAAGTCTTGATCGAGTGAATGTACACACCTCCAACTTTCATTCCAACCTTGTCCGAGTTATCATTGAAATTCCAGCTGACCTCCATGTTGCTGCCCTGTCCGGCACTGCCTGTGCACTCAAATGGGAAACTTACCTCAACAAAGGGGTGACACACCATCTGGAGATCTGTTGCAAAGGAAGGAAAAAGCAGTACTTACAGTAGTTGAGTACATATACAGTGGTTGTACATTTTGTCTCAATTCTGGTATCTCATTTATCTGGCTATGGAATATATAATTTCTGTTATAAACTATTCTGCAGTGTGGTAGTTGAGATCCACTTAAGACCTTCACAAGACCAGCACAAGACCTCCAGTCTGAATTCAAGCCACAAGCTATTAAATTAACTACAACAAAAGCATCCTTCGTCATTGTTCACCCTGTTACTTGTGTCTGGTCTTGTGATGGTCTCGACTACAACACAGCTATTCTGGTTAAACAAAGCCAACTCAAACAACACTATCTCAATTCACATGTGTCACGTGTCCCATGTGAAGAAAAAAAAGGGGACAGAGTATAACCTCGTGACACATGTCAAGTGTTTATGGGTGTCATTAGGTGGGAGATGGGGAGGATTTCCCCCAATTTTTAAAGTTGGGGCAACATCATATCATTTGTCCCCTCCACTTTATCCTAGACCCTATATAAAAATGTAGGGTGAGTAGGCCAACATTTGATTCATATGCAAGTACTCAGATAAATATTATTTGAAAACTGAAATAAGTCTTGCAAAAGCATGAGCTCAAAGCTTAGTTAAAGTGGTCAGAAGCTGCCTCTGAGAGCACCATAAAGCATCTTGAATCCACAGTTTCCCCAGGACCCTTACAGGTTATATAGGGCTGTTACGGCTTCGCATTTCACACCGGCATTAGTTTCATTCAAGCTTATCTTTCCCCCCCCCAGTTTTGAGAAGCGACTGACGCCCTTACGAGCACAGTCACGCTCACGTTGCGACTGTTGCAAAACACTCCAGTCAATCGTCAGCACCACTCTCTGCTACTTTGGCCTCTGTTGTAATTCACAATGCCAACCATAGTGTACTTGCCCGATACAGGAGCCTCCACATAGACTTCCCTCCGCGCTTCAATAGGTCCCGATGCATCATTCTTTACCCACGCTTTGACAAGGTACACCCCAACTTCGGAGAACACGTGGGGCTGAGGACCAGGGGTGTTGTTTGCAATGCCGGTGGAGTCTCCAAAGTCAAACCTGTACACAGCGTTCTCAGATCCAGCTTCTAGCGTTGTGTCTATGACTGTCGCTTGGAAAACTTCAATGTACCCTTGTATGGCAGTGAAAAAAATTGAATCAAATTCAGCCAGCATTGGGTACGGCGAGATGAAACCAAATTAAATGGTGCTGCGTGGCCTGAGCCAAAATGTGGGTAATCCTCATGGACTGCCTCTGAAAGTCTGATGATGGGTGGGGCTATTGGCACGCAGTACGACATAAGCCTTTGTGAAGTTATCCAAGCTAAGACACTGGACACTACTTTAGTTGGTGTGATTTTACCTATGAATCTATATACATGTATCGATCAGCGTACATTCAAACATCAATATATGCACACACATCCATAAAAACTAACAAGGAGCACCTTCAACTATGCAGATATGCAACACAGGAGCACACAGACAAGAGCAGATCCTGGCTCGTTACAATCAGTGATATGCAAAAACACAGACTAATCACGTATCTGTCCCTATGATGTATGAACCTAGATCTGCCACTACACACAGTAAAATGCAATTGCATGTCAAAGCATATTTTTTTTAGGAGTTGTGACCTCACTCCAAAATTTTTGGGTCACCGGTTGCTACTTGTTAATCTAGGCAGCGTCACTTTCCTAGTTTCAAAGAGGGTACATGACATTTTACAGAATCCACACCAGGCTGTTGAAAAACAAACCTCAATTTACATATTGTGAACCCAACAGAGAACATTTCTGTTATAAATCTGAATCATTTAGCATGAAGGTGAAACAGGCACCTTACTGTTTTTCTAACTTCTTCTTTTATGAAAAAAATACATCTTCAATAAATTGATTTTAATACCTGGATCAACTATGGTGATGCCTTTTACTGACGTCGCTGTGCTGTACACGCTGCTGTAGTCCAGCCCCCCGCACAAGTCAGTTGGGTTACCGGCGCATCGCAGGTTACAGCCATACTGTGACCCGTTGCTGTGGGCACCAGTGGTCTCCCCGCAGAGACACATGAAGCCCCCCTGTAGAGCAGCGTACGCGTAGTCCATGGACTTGCACAGCGCCTTACAGAGTCTGGGGTTGACGTCGTTGAAATCATGGTTTCCACCAGCGACGACAAACTCCCTCCTAGATGGATCCTCCTTAAAACACCCCTCATAAGTTGGATCGGTTGAGAGATCTGTCAATGCAGAAAGCAATGGGCTGACAGTTTACAACTGTACACAAATGATCTTGGCCATGTAAAGAGCAAAATGGATGGACCCTATGTGTACACGTATGTGGCAAAAGACAGGGATACAATACATGCTTGAATGCTGTTCTTGCAATGTGCCTGATGAACATTCTCTGTAGGTCAGTACACAATCAGAAGAAAGTATCCATGATGAGAACATGGGCACATCCATGAGCTAAACTGTGCACGTGCACATGATACATGATGTATCCCCAGAGTGGAGCCCTTGAAGGTGATTACACCAGTCACAGAGTAATGTAGGGGGGTAAACTATAAAGTATGCACAGGTCCAAAGCTTTTCAGATTTTAGGGGGGCCATCCACAAATGCTACAATCATACTTTTGACCTATTAAAGACAAGGAAAACAAATTAAGCAAAGCGTCATGTATAGCATCAATTTGCTTTAACCCATGGACAACATTTCAAGTAGGATTTTTGGGTCCAACCTTAATTTTCAAAAATATACAAAGTAAACGAAATTAAAAATAGATCAAAGCCATATGTAGCCCTTTGCTCCAACATTTGACAATGATGATATATGGAGAGAACAGGGACTTGCTGTGCCAAGTACATAAAAAGAAAACGGTTCTTGTCAAAGTTTCTAGATAACAGCATATTTCCTCTTTTATTAGCATGATGGATATTTTCAAGAGAGAAGATGGGTTTTTAATGGCAATATTGCTGAGTGATATGGCACTAGCCTAGCATCTAAATGACATCTAAGTGACTAAAGGCCAAAGCCTATGCCGGAAATTCATAAAATGAAACAAAGGCCATCTGACAATGATTGTTACGCCTATTGAGAGACATGTAATTGCCCAACAAACTGTCTAACAACTGTTACTTAGGCAAAGGTTAATGTCTGGGACTTGTATATTTGGGGAACCCATTCCTATAATACCTAAGCCTACATTTTCACTTTTGGATTCACCTTGGTAGACGACTATGACATCATGCTCAACAATGGCGAGGGGGTCGTTGTTGTGAAAATCAGGCAGGGTTTTGAGTTTTGAGGGAAATTATGAGGGAAATTACGAGTGTTTTAAGGCAGCTTCAAATTTGCTTGGCTGGTTTATCGGTAAGAAAGTTACATTTTCTCACAATTTACAACTCGAAATTTCCAAAACAAAGCCAAGGCAGGGTCACTGCAATATGACGTTGCTTCTGAATTCTCAGGTGGCTGACAGAAACTGGGGGGCCCAGGCCACACAATCCACAGGTCATGTCAATAGCTAAACTTGGCCTAGATCCATATGTCGTCATAGGCCAACTCACAAGTAAACAGCAACATTGATCTTTGAAATGCGGGGTCCCAGTCTACAGTGGTCTAACGTTACTTTTACAAGGAACGGCCTAGGCCCTTCGCCTATTTCTTCAAAGGACAGCGTGGCCTGCTGTAGGGTTAACCATGTGATTCTACCTCCATGGGTTAACATGGAGAACCTTACCTGGCTGTCATAATATCCGGCATGCGCCACGACAAAATCCCTCGTAAATCTACGCTGCTAATCGCTCGTGAAAAAAGACCAATGTCCCAGTATCGAAATGAACGACTAAACATCGATACTACAGAAATGTTGCCCATTTCCACAAAGTGTAGCTAGGCCTACATGTAGCTGCGGACATAAACTCGTCGACCTAACGTTAGACAGTGCCTCTACTATGGAGGGCGCAACATGTTCATTTGGCATGTACTTAATGTGCACGGCCAGGCGTGGTACAGTCTGCTGAATATTGAAAAGAGAAACAACTTAACACTTACCACGCACGCTGTCTGGAACTCTGAATAAGGCTGATGTGATCAACAAAAATGACAGGATGCCGCAATTTAATTTCATATCCGTTTTTGAAGTTCAAAAAAATGCAATTGTTGTTGGGTACTCTCCGACACGACATGGCGCGAATTTGATTTGTCAAAAGTTTTAGCCACTCCATCGCGCATGCGCGTACGTGACATGTATGTCTGTACAGCACTCATGCGCTTTCCACTCGGCCGTCCCCACGTGACCGTGCCTAGCCCAAAGTCCTAGCCTGCGCGGGGAACGTAATTTTTTTTTTCTGGGAGGATTAGTGATAGGCCTCATTATAATAAAACGGGCGTATTTAAGCGTGCCGGTTGTAGAACCAGGGACGAGCGAAGTGAGCTTTGGGGGAAACCATCATCCGAGGAATAAGAACACCTGCAGACTACTCTCAAATTGTCTGTCATTTGTATGGGTGGCCGAACTGCACAGAAATGTCACTCTAGGTTTGTGTCAGATTTTAGTTTTAAATGTGAATTTCCCCATTACTTTTGAAGGGGAGTAACGTTGTAATCGTGTTTGTTGGTTCATGGAGGAAGAAAAAGAAGTTAAGTGTTTGATACCTGCGTGATGGTGGAAAAGAAAGTTTTCAAAGACCATCCACCGACAAGTTATTGCCCAAATTTAGACAGAGTTCTTCTCAACTGGCAGTCTGATTGTGACAGTGCAGTTTTTGCCTTTTCTTGTTATCGCAACTATGTAACATCGCAATGTTGAACAAGATGAAATCTACCCTGCAAGGCTATCTTTTCGCTCTTTGTGTGCTTGTTAGTTTCGTCCTAAAACCACTAATTTAACAACTGTGGAAACCGACATGGATTTGGTACCGCTAGATTTCATTTTCTTGCAACTTTATTTCGTGATTGTGCTACTCTAATCCATTTCAATCTGTACCGTTTTTGGCTAGGGTCAAAGTGCTTTTAAAGGGCAACTTCTTTTTCTATTTTTCGCACTGACTTTAGTTTATGCTAAAGTATGTTTTCAAACAATTTTTTAGCTCCTCAAATTCGTACACTGACAGATAAGTAAATCAAACTTATGAATATTCTTGTATGAACACTGAAACATGAAACATATTACTTTGATTTTCCTGTGACGACAAATGCACTGGTCTCAGTTTCACTCCGTTACGAAGAAACCGAAGTCTGGCATGAAGATGGAAATTGTCAACATCCTCTTCCTTCAATCTCCACCTCGGCTGTACATTAATAGGAAGGTGCGTCTAATCAGAGCTGTAGAACTACCCCAGCACCTGTTCTGGGGTGGTTCTATAGCTCTGCATGGCATGATCTGGCATTCTCTCGCAGGGGTCTGGTGATTGCTCACTCTTGCTCGCTATCCTGGAAGCCCTGGCAGCCTCTTCAGACCAGTTTTGGACGGGACTGTGCACACATCTTGACAGGCCTGTAGGAAGTCCTCAAATAATGCACGGGTTGTGGTCTTCGAGTCGATGGTGTATCTTGAACGAGACCCCGTCTCGTGAGAGATTGCCAGTATAATATTGCAGTTGCCCCCACGTTGGTTGTCAACAACCCTGGGGCATTTTTGGCTTGCGCTCAGCAAATCTGCATATTCACAAGCAAAAGTGTGACGTCATCCAAGGAAGAAACCTCATTATAAGATTGACATCAGCAACAAACGCTACAGCAGTTTGTGGTACATGTATTTTGTTGTTTAAATGTTTTTTCTTCCCGTGATTAACTCTTGACAGTAGGAAGGTAAAGAAAACTTGCGCATAGATATTTTCAATAAGCAAATTTCCGGATTTACAATATGAACAGAAACCCCTATAAAATGAGCAGAGTGGGCTTGGGATAACATCACAGCAGTGATTTCGTTTGTCAGGGATTGAGCAGCATGGATGTCATATGCTGAAAAATGTGCTTCCTCAAAAAACAAGAATGGATGTCAAATACATGTAGTTTACAAGCATTTCAGGGCAGTGGAAATTTGCACAAAACGTAAATCTAAGAAAAATTCATGGCACGGTCCCTTGAAATTACCGAGTGGTTATTACAGTTTCAAGAATCGCGGTAATGACTCAGCACTTTTTCATCTCGGCTTGAGGAAACACTGGTGTGTCTGCATTGGTTTGTTTTTACATTTTTGCCCGTGGAAAGAATTACACATAACACCAAAAGACAAGACAAACAAAACACCGACTGAAAACCTACAGTTAAAGTCAAAACTCTTCATGCACAGTGATGGACAATACTTAAGAGCAACACATTTCTAATTAAATATTGTTGGGGTCGCTCATTCACTGTGGCTGGTCATACAGGATACCCAGATACTGAATACTGTCAGAAGTTATTTCAAGGTTCCTTTCTGAAGTATTTAGTTATTCAGGTTTAAGCCAACTTCCCACATGTACCTCCACCGTATCATCATTGTCAGACTAAAAAGCCTGCTTGACGTTTCAGAATTCCTAAAACTATTACCACGCGCAAGTTTATGATTGTTTTCTGTTCCAGCTTAGGCCCACGGGGATTGCTTCTGTTTTCACAGTCCATCTCTAGCTCTCACAATAGGAACAATGTTGGGACATTTCACAATACTCCATAAGACCACCCCGGCGACTCTGTTTTTATTGACGGAGCTTAAATTTAATTACATATTCATGAAAATAAGAAAGAGCAAATGCAAGTCTAACTCGAGTAATAATTTAACCTTTTTGACAAATCCTGAATTAAGTTAAAGACATTGTATTTCAGAATTCTGCTACGAATTTCATTCCAGGTCAAACACTCCAAAAGCTCATCTTAAAACAAACTCAAGGGGCACAAATTTGTGCCTGGAAATTTGTAAACCGGGGGGGGGGGTGCTGACGACCATGTGGCCCTACGGGGCACAATTCAGGATGCAGGTGTACACCTTTAAAACGTATATTGACCCCCTGAACCTTACATCAAAACAGCTTATTTGTAGCCCTTTTGTTTCCCTTGTCTCCCGTTTTCAGTGCTAATGGATACATTTCTGTACTTCTCACCAAGAAAATGTGGGGGATGACTAAACAGCCCTTTCCCGGCCAAAAAGTGTGGGGGATATATGCCCCCATCCCCGGAATTTTTGTCCCTGACAACCTGAGACTCTCAACCCCACATTCTCAAGAATATGTGCCCAATATCATGTTGCTATACACTCTCTTTTTCTCCCTCGAGGGCCATTTTGAGTCTAATTGCTCATGATTCTTTAAACATTTCGACACCAAAACCAATTACAAAATTAATACTGTTCCTATACACAGAGAAACAATATAAAAGTGGTTACAAGACTTTAAAAGGCGATGCTTTACCTCTACTGAATATCGTATACGCCAGCCTCCATTCAAATGAGCAAAAATATATACAGATATTCCGAGGCTATATCAACACTGTATGGCTCGTCTGTTTGGATTTGCATAAAAGCAGGATCAGGACAAATGATATCAATTATCTGTTGGACTTCACCTCAACAAAATATCTTTGAATCCCGGCTCAATTGCCACAGCTGAAAGCCCAAGTTATACATGAAGCTAAATACAATGAATACTGATATACAAGTACAAAGACCTGAGTATTCTACTGTATTCAAATTAGTAGCACGTAATGACTGGCAGATTGCACCGGATCATGATTCTCTCATACAGGCCTGTATTAAGGATATAGGAAAGCCAAAAACAATCGGAGCACTTATATCCCTATGATAAGAATTAGACTTCATGCGTACAGTTAACAATACAGTCCACAAGTTTCCACCGAGGTCTGATGTAACATACAGAGAAATGACCTTCCCCTACAAAGTATTATTTAACTGATTAAAGCTGGACTTTAACGTGGCTGATGACTTTGTACCTGTGGAGTTCTTGCAGAATGAGGTAGCAGTAAGATGGTATGACAACAAAGCTGTCTCTTTGGTGTTATCATTTGTGGAGCCTCAGCACTGACAAGGTGGCGTGCTGTGAGGGAAGCCTCAAGATGCATATAGACATCTAACGGCCAAAAATAGCCCAGCAGTACCATCGTCTCATGAGTGGGGTCGACATCCTTGACTCCCTCATATCAAAATACAAATATCCAAAGGTGAGAGATGGCGCTTCTTCTGGCACTTCATCACTTAATTGCTCAAGCCTGGCATGCGCATTTAGTGCCGGGTTTCTTATTTACTTTAAATATTGTGCTACCACGCAAACTTTGACAAGAGGACATGCATGTAAACATGTAAACACATGACATGGGGCCAGTCTGAAGATGAATTTGTACACCATAACTCCAGATTGACAGGCCAACTGAAAATAAAGGTCCAGTGATGGTCAAGATTACGTTGTGTCAAGAGGTGACGATCAGTGTCAACTCTCCTGTAAGCTCTCTTGCTTATGGTTGCAAGATGTGCATGCATGTAAATGGGTTCAGCACGACATGTATATGTGTTGTGTTGTCAGAGAAGATGTCATAAACACACGCACTTTGTGGCTTGTACCTGCATACATCATCAGACACACTTGCAAAACAGCCTGGGTAAACCTCACAGAGGTATGTTGAAAGAAGTGGAAATCATCGAAAATGGAAATAACCTCGGGAATTCTGTCAAAGTGCAACAGACAACAGAGGAGTTACTAAAAAAGATGAAAGAGTTGAGGCACCCACAGTCCCACATCACATGCATGACAGTCTGTCCTTCCAGTTCATTTTTACATGCATTTCGAGGCAGCCTTTCAGCTGATCAAGTCATCATGGCTATCCCCATTGGTTTCAGTAACCGATCCATTCTGAGGAAATCAATCACATCATCTCCCAGTTCAAGACACACCACAGCAGCTCAAATTCCATTCAAGAAAACTAAAGCAAAAGGGGCAAATTTCAGAGAAAAGAACACCATCAGTGAAATGAAAGAGGACTTGACAGTTTCTTCTACTGTACTCGTGAAAAGGTGTCATGACTTCTGTTGTTTGCCTGACAAACTGGCTCAAGTCGGGTAAGTTCTGTGAAAGGAAGTCAAGAAATGTGGGAGTAGAATGCCACAGATTTAAACAGAATTTATTCGGAAATTTAATTACTTCATGACCTCTTGGCCTGGTCAGGACACCTCAGGAATATCCTGGGATTGTCAATTTATTACCACAGATTACACGTGCCCCTCTGAACCTGTGACAACACCATGGGTAAAAGTGAGGAAGTGATTATATGCACTGTTGGTGGTGTACTGTGTAGTGAATTGCTTATATTAGGTCAACGGAAGTTTGTTTCAAAATATTGCTGCTAAAAACAGTCAAAAGTAGGAGAGATGTAATTTCTTTTTGAGCATTTTGTTAACTTAAAATATTGACTGAAATCTAATTTGTTAGCTGTGATCAAGAAGACAGAGACGTTGCAGTGCATGGCAGATAAAGTCAACACTGAAAAAACAAAGTCACTATAGCAAACTTTGGATATTTGAAATATTTCATGAAACCTTTGGAACAGACAGGCTCTACAGGTATTGAAAAATTCTTGGTGAATGCTTCCTGAATTCTTTTGTCTTTGAAAACTTTAGTTGGTACAAAATTTTGATTGTCTAAAGCCTTTCGTTTCTTCTGGTAAAGTAACCATATTTACTGTCTAGTGCCTGTATTAAATACATTTTTCTGTACCAAGCCATCTTAATGACAGTAAAGTTGATAGTTGAAGTACTAGCTGCAACTCTGAAAATTCAGAATTTACATACAAGACTACACAACCCAATAGTTAATTACTGATTGCTGTAATGTGGGATATGATGTTTTAGCAACTGAGGGACTCGTGAAATTTAAGGTGAAGATGAGGGCACTGCGGTTCCCCGAGGGTGTGAAAAACATCATATCCCACATCACAAAAGTCAATAATTGTTTTTTAATACCTCTGTCTTTATGAGCCAGTTTGGTATTCCAGGGTCTTCTGGGAACAAAGCATGTGCTTGAGTTGGTGTACGCCTTTGCTGATAGGACAGATTACTGCACACGCCTGTTGCTGTTACCAAATAGTCTCAGATGGGTATGCACTGTGGGATACCAAATTGGCTCATTCTCTGTAATAATCTCCACAGGCCAAAGTAATTCAAACTTTGTCAAAATGACGAGAGTCTTGGTCCACTGCTGCACAGTAATTTTTGTTAAGTGAAAGGACTCAGTATGTCATTTTACTTGTGCTGGTGGCACATGTCTTGCTGCAAGCAATATCTTTACCTCCTAAAAACATTTTTAAGGAACTTTAAAAATACATAGAAATGAAATTTAAGTGAATATATTTGATGCAGAATCACTCCATGGCAAAGATCAGCCATTAGCAAAAAATTGAAGGGTTCCATCAACAGCTGATCCTTTCATGTACATGTACACAGCCCAGTCTATTGCAGGCACTGCTCCGACTACAGTTTACTGCTATCAACTGCACAAGTGGGGACCAGTCTATGATATCACGACGTGATATGCATAACCACGAGAATAATATGCAGTTTCACTGACCAGTGACATAACCCCTAGGGACCAATAAAAATACAAGTATTCAAGGTATAACAATGTCACCTGTTCACCTTTTTCCACAGAAATTATTTATAGAATACCAGATATGAGTACATAATGATGTACCCAGGGGTCCCGGTAGGGTTGGGATCCTTGCCCTCAAACCAGCCAAAGTATGTGATGTTATTTTGCCCACTCGTCACTTGGGCGGTGACATCGAAGACCCAAGGGTCCACTTCCCTGCCGTCACACCATCCATCGCGGCCGTACAGCCAAGTGCCGTGCTCGTTGGGCTCCACCCCGGTTGGTGTTCGCATGGCGCAGCCCAGTTCGGTGCCTGATGGGTGTAAGATTGGCATTACATGGCATTACGGTGGGCACAGTATCATGAACTCTAAATAGGGGCGAATGAGTGATGCTGGACATGAACCCAAGACCACTGGATAAGGATTTGATTGCTCCAGTTCAGACAACTCTGAGCTTTTTCGGAAGTGGCTCTGATTTAGTCCAGGAGTTATTCCATTTAGAATTGGCTCCAAATTTCACAGGCAAAAAATGCAGTGTTGTATTCAAGACCATCGGTTGTATTTGAGTTCATCACAAGACCATATGTGAGACCAGTCACAAGACCATACGTGAGACCAGTCACAAGACCATACGTGAGACCAGTCCCAAGACCGTACCGGTACGTGAGACCATCACAAGACCATACGTGAGACCAGTCACAAGACCATATGTGAGATCCTCACAAGACCATACGTAAGACCAGTCACAAGACCATACGTGAGACCAGTCACAAGACCATACGTGAGACCAGTCACAAGACCATACGTGAGACCAGTCACAAGTGTCAGCATGAACAGTGACAACAGGAATGCTTTTGTTGCCGTTATGAATAGCTTCAATTAGCTTGTGACTTGAATTCAGACTGGAGGCCTTGTACTGGTGTTGTGATGGTCCTGTGGGGTCTTGTCATGGTCTTGACTGAAACAGTGAAAAAAAAATGACAAACCCTTCCACAAAAAGAACACAAATATAAAAATGTACTTGTAGCGGTAGAAGTGACCTCCTACATTCTCTTCAACATGACTACTTACCACCTAAAACTTGGTTCAGAGTTACAATCACAGTATTCACGAAGCAGATCAGTTCAATTTGTTATTACAAAAATGTTTCCTCCCAGAATTATTCCATCTTCGAACTTGCATTAGAGTTGTCCCATTAAATGAATAGTTGATTGATGTCTGGAATTGACCTTCGGGGAACTAAACTCAGATATGACTAAGAGACAGTAAAGTTACAATTCTGACAGAGCAAAGTTTAGAATCTATTCTTAGTGATTGTGATAGAGAGTTAACCCAGACCTAGTCCGTAGCTTTAGCTCCAACCCTAAGCAACCAGAAGGGAAAAAATGGATTAAGCACTGCATAACGAAGAAAGTGGCTGCCAATAAAGTCCATTTGGCTGAGAATTGGCCATGACTGAAAACTTGCCAGCTGCAACCCTACTTATTCGAACAGGAGAAAAGGTGTGTCATTTCCTGAGCAAATGCAAACAACGTTCAACCCTGCTTCCTTCTCAAAACCATTTCGCATTCCTCTAAGGAAACATGGTCTTACCAGCATTACTGAATGTTATGTTATGATGGTGTCCATTGATGACAAAGTGATGCGAAGTGACGCAAAATTCCCCACAGCCATTGTTATCACTACCGTGCCCCGTGATCACAGCAAAAACTTGCACCTGCACGTAAATCGAAGAAAACGTAACTCATATTGCATAGTTCATACATAGTACCACAGAAAATTGCAGGACAGCAATTCCAGTGGCCCTGGACAATAGACTGCACTGGTAGTCTTCAAAACGGCATGCACGTACTGAAATCTGAGTTCACGACTGATACATTAAATGTCTTCACCCATACCATCTCTATACCAAACTTCAGTGAAATTACAAAAACCTTTCAAATAGATATTAACAAACCAGCAACATGTGACCTGTTTTCGCTTGGAGTCCCGGAGAAACCCAAAAATTTAATTTTCCACATGATTTGAAGAATGAAACTTTTCACCTCCGACTTTGAAATTACATGCATGAATTCCAAAGCAAGGCAACCAATGCATGAGCCCTGCAATTCAGGTGCTGCTGTCCGTGTGAAGAAGTTTGATATTCCTATTTGTTTTTACCTTTTTTACATCAGAAGGCACTGTGAAGAAAAGTGGTTTGTACTTTTTGTTGTAGTTCTTGTCAAATGTTCCTCCTCGGAACAAGGGCGTGATGTTGTAGGGTCTCAGTGTACCTGTTGAAACAACAGGAACATTTTTAGGGCAGAGGGCCCGAGTTAAGCGCAACAAGATAAAAAAAATGGACTTGTGTCCTCCTCATGCATCTGGTAATAGCAAGTTTTACCACAGATTGCACATTTTGATAAATTATGGAAAACCGTAATATGATGCTCAATCCCTCTCAGAAATATTTCTTGTTAGCCATTTATCAAAGGTACCTGTATGTTTACTTGTAAAACCTTGGAATATAGAGAATGCAAGTTTACAAAAAACAAAATCTATATTTTCCTTTCCGTTGAATTGATTTTGCCTTCAGAAATGTGATTTCAAATCTTATTGCATACTTTTCAAACATTCATCCATCAATCACCTAAATATTTGAATAGCTGGCACAATCCTTAGTGGAATAAGATTATGTGACATTATTATATTCAAAGTTGAGGATATGTAAACGATTCTTCTAGGGCAATACGGCAGCTGGTGGTTATGTATTGCCAGACAAAATGGACAAAAGGCTGCATGGTCAAAATGTTAACTTCAGTCAGTTATTTCTATGCCTGCAGTTCACCTTTATTTCAAGACGGTAGACTACATTGGAACAATACCACTGAATATGAAGAGTTCTGTACACAAAGCAGTAAGTTTGTCTTCAGCAACCGTGCTTGTATGGGACTTCAAAGAACTCATATACACTACCTCCTGAGCTGTCCTTGGAAAAACGTAAATTAAGGGATGGTTCCCAGGCTTTTGCCCAGGGAACCGTCTTCATTGTGAAGTTACACGTGTCCGAGGTGAAGAGAGGAAACAAGGGTGATACATCGGTCAACCATCGGCCAATCCGTCTAGGAGTAAAATTAGTCACATTGGTCAATAAATCTCTTCCAATTTTGTGACCAAAAAATGAAATTACAACACACATGACACATGTATTCAAGCCATGCTTATTCTTGATATGTAATGATATGTGCATATTATAAGAAAATAAATAGAATTCACCCCTAACCTCCTGAATGGAGTGATCCATCTGCCTAGCTCCATGTTACATAAAGGGGAGGTTTCATTACAGCAGAGGTAGAGGTGCACAGTGTGATCCCAGGGTGGGCAACTCTCGTCTTTTGTTCCAGGGCAAGACAGGGATGCATCAAGCTCAAATTTGTTGTACTGGGACAACTCTGGCAAATGGTCAAAAAGAGAACATGAGGTTAGGATGTGTACTCTGCTAAGTGACAAACTTTTCCTCAAGACTGAGAAAAGATCTCAACACAGGAACACACAGTCTTGGCCTCTGAAAGTCACAGATTAAAAGCAATCAGTGCTAAAACTAATCACAAAACATTAATCAATACAAATTTAACAAAGATGAGTTGACTTAATTTTGTATTGGGTGTCAACCCTTGACCAATGTCGTCTTGTGTTTTTTTCTCACAAAACCTTGGACAACATCAAGAATACAGTGTTTATGAAATACACATGTATACGTCAGCTATAAAGCCCCCAAACACCCAATATAAACAGAAGCAAAACACATCTCTCAGCGCAAATTCCATCTTACTAAAAAGAGTAATGATGAAATCAAATGCGAGTCACCTGCACCAGTCAGTCACAAGTTAGTTAACAAATGATGGGTGATGTACCCTGCTTATACATTGATATGCAGAAAGTGACTATGCTAGAGATTATATTACTTGTGGTCTTCTTGTAATGATTCAATTCATACAAATCTGCAACACAAGTTTAACTCTTCTACCTTTGTGTATAACTCCTCGTCCCCCTTCAACTCCCCCAAAATGTTTCAAATGTTCTATTAAGTTAATTTTTTTATGCAGTGAAACTTTGAAAATCAGGGAACATGTCAAAAGTAGCAATCTGCAATGAGAGAGAGCTCTGACAAGCGTAGCCACTCCTGGAAACTGTAGGTAAAATATACCAGATTAGCAACAAATACATTGGCTGATTTCAAGAAATACTTCATCAACCTCCATAGGGAACACTTTGGTCTAGATGCACTCTTTACAGTGCAATCAGCGCCTGTCAACAAGCATGTCTTGGGCACCTGGCTGGTACATGACCATGTCAATCCTCTTACTCAGTAATGATGGAAGTTGGATAGCTTTCACAACTCCTGTATTGCCTTGCATGAGGGAATTCTTGATGACCGGGATCACGAGCGCTTCGCTGGAGAGATTACGCAGGAGGGAAGACTTGTAGTTGAACCTGAAATGATCCGATGAAAAAGCAAGAGGTTCACACATTCAATTTGCAGGAATATGCTGCACACTGTGCCTCACTGATGGTTCAGGACTGGGCTTCATAAATTTATACAATTGATGGCTCAATCTTTGATCTCTATATTTTTCTTTCACTGACTATGAAAACTAGTATAAACTGTATTAGTACTGGGTCACTTTGCCGCTTTGTGTGAGATTAACACTGAAAATGCTGGGCAAGGGGGAGGGTAGAATGTACTGGATTTTCTCAGATAGTGAAACTCCTTTTTCTGCTTTGTGCCAAGCCCTGAGGAAATTTACTAGTGCCTTGCCACCATTTTGACACCAATTTCATGAAAATCAAACCCCATGCACCCTTGCTATGCCCTCGTAATGGTTCACACAGTGTTACCTCCAGCTCCTGCTAGGAGTCCAGGGGCCAGACCACAGACTCTCATCCTCCTAGATACCATGATATCCATCAACAGTTTGTGGAGGATTTCACAAGATCGAAAAAGACAGAACTTGTACTATTACAACTTCAAACAAAAGTACAAAAAAGTGCACTGAAAGAAACTGAGGACAACTGTGGAGCATTCAAGGGAGCTCAAGAGAACGGATAGGTCAACAGTTGTCAGTGTTGCACATTGATTGTCTGATTACATACCACTCTGCCTGCCAGTTGAAGAACTGAAATGAGGGGTACAAGAGCCAGCCCATCTCTTGAAGCAGCCCCTCTGCATTGATCCCAAAGTAAAAATTGTCCGTTGGAGTAGTCTGGAAAGATACGTACAGCTTCTCCTTTTGCAACCTGAAAAGAAATGACACACTGTAATAAAAATGCAATGCCAATGCAATGCCATACAGTGAAAATAGACTTCCATTTAGTTTCTAGATAGTAAAAGGGTTTTTTTAGGCACGCAAGTTACCGTAATTTACTGCATGTTACAAGTAACAACTTCTGTGCCGTGATCAGGAATTGCCTACTGTACGTTTCAAATGGAAGTGATTTTATAGCCAATGATGTTAAACTGCAACAGCCTGGTAAAACATGGGTGAAAACTGCCGATAAACGTACCATACCCTGGCACTTTTTCAAGCACTTGCAAGGAATGTGTACATGTACATATTGTTTCACCCAACAGTTCAAGCATCAAATTTACTCCAAGCAATTGGGCATGAATGGATCATTTCAACTCAATTTGTTTAGTTTGGATGCTCCATTTATGAAACCACTTACCGCGTGACCAAATCTTGATTGAAGGGGACCATGGTAGCTGGTATAGCAGGTGGGGAATCACATTCAGCACCTTCACAGTTCATATCTTGCACGGGCTGGCCCTGGTCTGCATAGACAATGACCCCTGCTGCACCAGACTGCTCCATTGTGGTGACCTAGCACAAGGCCAAGAAACAGGGAAGGGTGACAGAAGGAAGAAATGACCAGATCTGCAGCCGATTTCAGGAAACTTGGCATAACTATGAACCATGTGAAAGCCATGCGCCACAAATTTATGCCGTAGTTACGCAATATGCTTACGTTTGATTTCACGAAGAGTTGCGTAGATGCGCCACACCTCAATAATATTAAATTCCTTGGACAAAAACAGCTTTTACGACGGATGTTCTTTTCCAATGTAACAGCAGTCATCAAACAGTCAATGAATCATATCGGCCCGCCATTTTGAAAAAGTTTTTGTCTTTTCTTCGTCGGAACCGGACAAACTGTTTTGCAGTTTTCTAACAGCCAAACAAGTTTATTATTACCTTCTGGAACAAAGTTGTTTGTTTCTCGTATAATCCTTAATAAGTCCAGCAATGATGAGGACTTGATAAGCAAGTCAAACCATTCATTTTCCCTAATTCGTTGCATAAGTCGTGGACTTACGCAGTGCGTAAGTTTCGTGAAATTGGTCTTAATTTGTTGCACAACTTACGAAATAAAATGTGACGTAAGTGGAGTTACGCCGTTGCACAAAGTTTCATGACATCGGCTGCTGCAGCATAAATATCTATGCTGACCAGTGGGGAGGAGGAGATGGGGGATTATGACCACAATTCTGACATTGTCCCCCGCTACAGATATTCAAAAGAAGGGTAGGGGAAGGCTACATGTACATGGCACGTTATATGAAGATAGAGGGCACTGTTCAAGATGGTAGATATGTACACCATTTGAATATTTTCACACTTTTCATGCCTAACTTTCACATTCAAACTGTTTCTGTACTCTTTGTCCTCTATTTTAACCAATGGAAAGTTAAAAACCCTAATATATATGCATTTTTCCCACACAAAAAGCGAGTGTGTGGTGAATGATCAAACGGCCCGCCCCCTTGATAAAAAAGAGGGGGGGGAGTTAATTTTAGACTCCTGATCAGGTGGAGAATGACAAACCCCATCTTTTCTCTATGAGAACACCGACCAGTGCACAATTACCAAAACATACCTTGTCTCTTAAAAAAACATCTCCATGTCTCTGAAAAAGATCTCCATGACAATGGGTTTGAACTGGTTCGAGCCCACACCACAGTGAGGGACTTTTCAATCTCTCCATCCTCTCCGTCTGGCTTTGCATCCTGTCCCATTATGTTTCGATTGGACTTCCAATAAAAAACCAAGCCCTCCCTAGTTCTCCGTTGTCTCGTTTTTGTGAGCTCTTGCATTGCATGGGATCATGTTTTCATTAAAAATTTTGCTGCCATTTACAAAAAATCACTGCCACGTTTTGGAGCCAAGTTGATTGTATGAATGCACAGAATATATAAAGAGTGAGGGAAATACAGAAAGTTCATACCTGACCTGGGGACCAAAATGGCACAGCAAGTCTTTCCTGGCCAATAAAGACTTTTGTAAGGTCAACACTCATCTCACATTTCAATCCTTCCATTTTCGATAAGTTAAGAACAAACTATCCAAAGCCGTGATTGGCAATTACAATGTCATCATTAGGTGTCAATCCACCAATCCAACCTTTGTCGAGAAACTGCAGCTTCCTGCCATCACTACGGCGATCTTCTTGGCCACTCTGCTGTCAGGTTTACAGCCATTTTCGGCGGGGACCACGGGAATTGTCTGGTTGCCAAACTTGTCCACGGAAGGAAGCCAATCGTATCTTGCATCCAGACGCTTCAGCACAATTGGTGCACCTGTTGGAAATGAATTAACAGTGAAACTTTGACAATGGCCACGATTAAATTCTTCATCACAAAATTCCAAGACGCCCAACTGCTTATGCCTTCATATATACAAATGTGTTTATGGAAAAAGAGGCTTCATGGATGATTTTTGTAAACAGTATGCAAAACGTGGTTTCCATGACCAACTTATGACAAATCTGGGCAAATTATAATAGCTTTTGTTTTATTAGAGTTCTGTTACAGTCCTTGGATAGTAGTTTCAAACTTAATTACTGTTGGAATGATCATGAAAATATAATCAAAGGCAAGCCGGCTCGGCACATGTATGGAAACCCAAGAGAGAACCTTACTGATCTGATTGGAGATTTCCTTCGAGTCATATGAAGTAGGCGCACTCTGGAAGACAACCTGTGCTAAGCCACACCCATGATCCTGACACGCCCACTGCTGAAGCAAGGCTGGGATCCAATTACCAAGCTGGTACAACGACGTGACAGCAAAGTGAAACTGGGACTGTAAACCACCATCCCTCCTGTATTAAAGACAGTCAATTTACCCGTTCATGGAATGAGAAAAAGAACCGTGTTTCTCTTGACATCATCAGAAAACAGGGCATAGTTTTCAATTTCAAATTTAAGTTGAATCATCTTCCAGGAGATAAGACTGGGTGGGGGGGAACCATACCAGTGACAGAGGGCCATTTCAGAGTATTCTAGGCCTTTCTATTAAAAGCCAGCCATGCAACAAGGCACCTTTGCAAACATATACATAAACTTTTGACCCACCAATTTTGTCACATCATTCATGTGTTATGAGTGGAGTTGTGAATAAAGTCACCGTAAGTGAAACAGCTGCAGGAACATTTGATAGAAATAAGGGGAACTGGTTGAAATAATTGTAGGAATGGAAAAAACGGATGATTATGGTAGAGAGAAGAGGTATAAATGGAAGTCAGTTGTATCCTACTCAAGTATACATGTATGTTAACTTTTAGGTATACCTACAAATACCCACATTTCATTTTCAGACTTGTGTACATATAACTTTAGGTCAAATATCAGAATATTCAATTATTTCAATTGACTCAGTCTAATAAAAAAACAAAGGATTTGAACCTCAGACAGATTGAATTATGATTTCAAAATGGCCCCCCCCAAAAATAGTGGGTCTCTGGTCAGCTCACGCAATGATTTTGACATGCCCATCAATGTTATTTTTTTCCATTTCTTTCTCAACATTTTCAAAACAGCGCCCTTTATTTCCGCACTGCCTGAATGTTTGCGAGTAGACTGATTCCCAGCCACAAGTCCACAAGTCAGAAGGGCAATTTGTTCAAGGAACAAAACTAATTCGTGGGTAGCTCGTACCCGATGATAGATCCGTTACGACTGCTTAATGTTGATGTCGAACACAAACAGTAGACCATGGGTAGGTTACAAAGTTGCAGCCAGCTCATTAACAACAATGGCGGCATGACGTGCGACATGCCACTACTAGCCTTTGCTCTCTGATTAAATATGTCCGTTGCCAGTCTTAAAAAGCCAACCCCATCAAAACCCCCCCAAAGAAAAACACGCATTGCAGCATCAATTCTGAATCTTTGGTCTGACCAGAGACCGAGTATTGTTTGGGGGGCCTCATGTAATTCTTAAATTCTTGGTACATGTCAGTGTGTATAGGAAGCATACTTTGCAATTGTTTCCATGGCATTGGGAGGCCCAAAAGGGACACAGCCACATTTTATATTAAAATGACCCAATTTAGTATCACTCAAATGATGTCCAGTCTTACTCAAGTAATCCCATTCTCTCCACTGCTCCCTGAATCTGTTCCCTCATCCAAAGGGTCTCCTTCAATGGATCGTCGCTGGTCGGCAGAAACACAAAATGCGTGTTGGAGGGTCTCCCTTTGATGAGCGTCTGCAGGGAGCTCTCAGAGGTCCACAGGCACTCCAAGAAACCCGAGTGATTGTTGAAGGTGTGGAAGATCATCGGCGTGTTGGACAAGAGGGCACTGGGATACTCGATGACACCATTCAGGGTAAAGAGCCTAAAGGGCTGGGCCGGCTGGTCAGGGAGAAGTGCAGGTGTCTGGTCCTCCCAATCGGTGAAGACCGTTTGAGAGAAACCCCTCCTGTGGGCAAGATTTTCCCTGCCAGTTTGCAGTTGCTGTCGGACCCGCGACCAGCTGCTAGTTTTGGACTGCTCGTTCCCATTCCGCAGGGTCTGCACATGTTTCTGGATGCCTGAAGTGACCCTGAAGTTGATGCACAACCACAAAAGAAGCAACAGGCCAACATTGATGCTGATTTTCTGGACCTCCATTTGGTTTATTAACCTGCCGAAAAAGCAAAAAACACCCACAAACATTACATTTCTTAATCCGAGAAGTAATGTTGTCAATTCCTTAAGAACAAATGATTCTGATACCTCTTACAAAGCATCATCAGCATCAATATTTCAGTGTGCCTTATACATGTACATGTATTAACTTCAGACTTGTGACTCTGGCAGCACATATGCTTCTGGAAGTCACCAGCTTGTTCGGCTTCACGTCTTTCCGTTAGACACCAGAACGGTGTCTCCACAGACTAAATTTGACAGGAAAATCAAGGGACAAACTGAGAACTATAAACTCTAGCCATTGACATTGTGCATGTATGTCAGATCACTCCATCGTGGTCACACTCCGTTTGAAGCTTGGTATCATGTCCAGTGTTGTGGAGGTATATAGTATGTACATGTATATGTACTGTATGAATGGGGGGGGGGATTAGGGAAGAAGTCTTGTATCTTGTCAGAATGACGAGCCCCCATAGTTATGTTTAATAGTTTAATGACCTTTTGGGGAGCAAGGCTTACTAGCATTTGAGTGAAATCAATCAATGAGAAAGAGAAGCTTATTATTATGATATGAAGGGTTCAATGACCAGATGACTGTTTCGCGGACTATGTAAGTCAAAATGTAAGAGGCGATTACTAAGTAGGCCTATCCCAAGAAGTGTGGAATCTGACGTCCCGCCCCCCAGTTCTGGGGGTAAGTATAATCATGGAGGAAGGAATCATGTCATGTTCTTCATATTTTGTCATCCGCTGAGTTCCCAAGGTCTGCAATGCCAATGCCATTAACAACAGACACGGCTCATCACTGTTTGTAAATTGTACTATTTGTAGGTATACTTATGTCTGAGTGGGCCACCTTTAATTCTTATCTTTCATCTACTGGTTTCAATACAGGAGCGGTGGAGGCCCTAATATTTATATTCCGCAAATCAGACTTTGCCGCGCGGTCATATACTCAACATGCTCAACATGCAACGGACGTGACGGACCGTGAACACACCGTCAACACCTCCAAAACACGTTAAAAACAAAAGAAGCGGTATTCAACAGTAAAGTGTTTGCCGAGAGGCTATTTTGGCTAAACATCACCAGGTTAAACTCTGGAAAATTGCCGTTTTAATTTTGCCAAAATCGCCTCCCTGGAATCAGCTCAGAAATCAGCAGCCATGACATGCATGATCATGATGTTGCCTACCATACGCTAGAGGGTAATATAGGTAATATTATATGATAAAGAAACATAGGACAGTCGGATCATCCACAAAACGTACAGATTTCATAATCGAAAGTGATCGTGGTAAAAAAATAAAAAATGATTGAAATTTACAAAATGCTACTCACAACATTTACATGTACCATGGAGGTAGCTACCTCCATGCATGTACATAGTATATGTACATGTACGCTGATATGCAGTGGCAGTCGAGTCACGTGCGCACATACCGAGCTGTGAAAGGAAAGTGCGCCCTCCACAGACATCTTTGATCAATCGGTGATCAAAAAATTGCCGAGAACCAGGACTTAAAATTAGAGAGATGGGGGTGAGCTACTGGAAGCAAGTCATAAGTGTTCCTAAACATGGAGAAATGCGAAATGGCGTCAGGGTGCAGACCACTAATTCAATTGAGAGTTTCTAGCCAGCTCATTAGCATCAAAAGCGCCCCCACAGGATCTTTTGAAAAAGGAGATTATTTGGCCCCCAAAATGGTGAGATTGTGTAAATCCTTGCCAGGATCAACTCCCTGGGTCTTTGAGCTTTCATACGGGCAGAATGGCTAAAAACTACGGTTGAAAAATGGTCCTAAGTGCCCGAGAAAGTTGAGTGTTGCCACTTGAAAAATGGCTGCAATCAGACTTCGGAAAAATCGCTGTTTGGGGGGTGATTTTGTTTTGCGGGGGAATAATTAAAAGTGTAATCGGTTAACCCACCAAAAATTGAAAAGATTTTGAAAGATTAGTGACCAGACAAGAACTTCATTTGTGTTTCATAAATCTCAGGGATGTTGGCGTGCATGCTATTGGGCCCTGAACAGTGCTGATTTTACAGTGTTTTCAGTGGGGCTTGAAGTAGTGGACTGTACCGACCCCTAGGGTGGCACTACACCAAATACGCGCCAATAGAAAACAGTGCAAAATCAGGCCAAAATAGCGCCGCCCGTTGACTCTCGTGAAGAGGTTGGCCTCCGTTTTTTTCACTGGAAATTCAAGATTGCATTTTTTTATATTCGCCTTTCCCCGAAGAGTACCCCCAAATAGTAATAAAACTACGCACTCAGCTCTGAATCTAGCCGCCCGCCGCTATCCAAACTAGGCCCGCAATTTGGGGCTTTATGCGAAAGAAAAACCCCGAACTGCAAACTGTCGGTCCCCAATTCGGGATTTATAGAAAGATTTCTTTGATCCCCCCTGATTTTGCCATGTCTTATTGTAAAACCTCCTTGGGATCACAAAATATTAATGAGCTCCTGCTTTCAACTAAACTGGCGTCACGTTTACCAAGAGGAGAGAATAAAAAGAGCAACATCTATCCTTCGAGGGCGCCCTTTATTTGCGGTATTCTTGTTATCGGTGGTAGTTTATTGAGTACAAGGAGCAATGCGTTTAAAAGCATATTATTTGAAAATTATTCCAAAACTACGTTTTGGAAAAAGTTTAATCCGTGGCTTTGAAAGGACACCTGCCAATTTAGGATAATTGATAAACAACCCTCCCACCACATGGTAATGAGTAGAAATACCAGTTGCAGGTGAATCTGTTTCATTTCTTTGAACAAAACCTCTTGCGAAGTTTTACGGTTACTCCAAATACGCTGTTATTTGGATGCACCATGCCGTTTTCATGCACCTAACGGACAGTGAGGTCACCAGACTTTTGATTTCGAGAAACTTTTGAGAAATGGCAGTGTACTTTGACAGTACATGTACCTATCTGAGTTCGAAAGGGACCTACTTGACTAAGTATTAGACGACTGTTTGCCGTGCCATTTTTTCTAACTCGAATATCGATAATAATTAAACGTATGGCCAACGAGGCACGGGATAATCATACAAATAATGACACTGGGTTTCGGTCAGATCAAAATCAAAGGTAGCGTGGGTTACCGTGGGGGGGGGGGTAAAGGACTGTGCGCCCGAGACAGAGGTTGACTGCAGCTTTTGCGGCGAGAATGGGGCCAATTCAAAAGCTTTACAGATTTGATATTCTTGGATTCTCGACGTCATTTTCTTCTGTTGAAATCCCAACAACTCCGGATTCCTCGTTTATTTTGAATGTGTTTCATCATCAGTTGTCTTTTGGGGGCAGACCTGTCTGACCAGTGATGTGTCAAGCATTCACAAGAAAGGGTGGCGATTGCAACATTGCGGACGAAATGAGTGCAAAAATAAGTCATCGACATAAAAGAGGCGAGTGCCGCAGGACTATGCCGCCCATGGATCTGTTACTGTTGATCCGTCAATTACGAAAGATTCACGCCATTTCTTTTATCATATTCAGATTACTTAGAAGAAATGGACCCAAACACGGTTGGAACCGGTTTTATCGTCGAAAGTTTAGGACATTTAGATTATAAATAAAGGGAAATCAGCAGTGATCCTTTAGCTCACTGTAATCCTATCAAATTGTCTGGTGGGTTGAGCGGAATGAGGAAAAAAAAAAGGCGTGGTGAGTGAAAAAAAAGCAAAAGTTATGCGGTGTTGACCAAGCATTC